ACCGGAACCACAAGAGTGCGTCGACTCAGGCGTAGCACACCAGTTAAGCAAAAATGCAACTATCGTACGGATGACACACCCACATTATCCCTATCGGCTTTGGTAACAAAATTTGTATTGTTGTAACTAAAAAATATTATCAACGTATTATATAAGCACGCTAGTAAGACGTTAGTGAACAAAACTCCACGTATCATAGCTAATGCACTAAGACATGAATTGAGTACGCTCACTAATTGGAATGAGTGTGTTTTATTTTGTATAAAACACACTCATTCCAATTAGAAATTTAGACGATGCATCGCTATGTGCTACGACGCCGTCCACAAACGGTATGGGTGTGCGATGTTCACGGAAAAGCCGTATTGCTACAACAAACCCGCTTACCACCGGCACTAAGATGATATGTCTAGGATACATCGGTTAGCGAGTCCAAGCTTACCTCGGACCAATTGCTCGTGAAGCAGCATACACTCCACCACAATAATCCTTTTCAAGTCCCTTATATAGGACTAGTCATTTTGCTACAGTACTAAGAGCAGTCGGTCACCCGACCACCCCGTATAATGCTTATTCATCAAGGAGACATCATCATTCTCTAAACCATTTCCCATTATCTAGGGTCGGCGCAGTAAATCTTCTTGTTCCATTCCTCTCTATCAGCCGTCATTTCCGTACTTACTCCTTTCATTCTCATAACTCTTACAATCGATCCATCTTTTATTCGGCCTTGCTCTACCCGTGTGTCCCTCCACATTCATATTCAACACTCGTTTTGTGACATGACTTTCATCCCTCCGCATCACATGCCCAAACCATGCCAATCTGCTTCCTCTCACCTTTTCTACCACTGGCGCTACTTTCAGGCTTCCTCTTATATACTCATTCCTTATCTTATCCATCCTTGTCACACCACACATCCATCGTAACATTCTCATTTCATTCGCATGCAATCTATTTTCATCCTTCTTCTTGACGGCCCAGCATTCACTTCCATACATGACGACAGGTCGGATGGTCGATTTGTAAATTTTCCCCTTCAGCCTTATTTGCATTCGGGGATCGCACGTTGTGGCTGTGACCTGTCGCCATTTCATCCACCCTGCGTTAATCCATCATATACCACCACCATATGCATCAAGGAGACCTACTATAATAATTCTTTTGTACCATAGACCTCACTATCATAAGTCATTAATATATAGGATTTCAACCCACAACCCTACTTTTTTATATAGAAGAGGGGGCAAACGAGCATGCGGCTCACCTGATGTTAAGTGACTACCGCCGCCCATGATCAACTGCAACACCAGGGTAATTGCAGGTGCGTTGCCGACCTTTTAGAAAATAGTAAGCTCTTTTCTTGAAGGTCTCCAGGTCGTATAAGTCCGGAAAAATTACCGGTGGTAAACTATTCCACAGAGAGGTTGTACGCGGAAGAAAACTTCTTTTGAAACGAACAGTGGTGGACCACCAAGCATCCAAGATGGTGTGGATGGTATCGGGACGTTTGCCGCGTAGTGCGTTCAAGAAATTTGGCGGCTGGGATTAATCAGAACAATTTCTCAGAGCACTCCCCATGGTACATGCGAAAGAAAATGCAAAGAGATGCAACATCTCTTCGCAGCGCCAGTGAATCGAGCCGATCGTAAAGCACTCGGTCGTTGACGATTCGAGCCGCTCTGCGCTGGATGCGGTCAAGTAGAAGGAGCTGGTACTGGGGAGCCCCAGCCCAGAAATGGGAACATTATTCCATGTGCGGCCGAACCTGCGCCTTGTAAAGTAGCAAGCGTTGTGCCGGCCTGAAATACTGTCCCGCTCTACTGAGCACGCCAAGCTTTTTAGAGGCCAATTTGGCCTTCTCTTCTAAGTGACCACGAAACCGCACGTCACTTGATATGTTGCTGCCGAGGATTCCGATATTGGCTTAGGCAACAAGAGGAATGCCATGAAACTGAAGAGATACGACATAGGAGATCTTTTTAGCGGTTAACGCGCAAATTTGTTTTTTCGGGTGGTTAAGCAGGACTACATTTAGTCGCCCTCAATCAGAGACTCCGTTCAGCAAAGACTCGACGTCTGACACAAGTTTGGTACTCGGAGACGTTTTCCCGAGAAATATTGTCACGGCCGGTGTAAAGAGCATCACAAGTGCTGTTATCTGCATAGCAATGAATGTTACGGATTCGCAACATATCATTGATATAAAGAAGAAACAGCGTTGGCGATAGCACGCAGCCTTGTGGAACATCAGCATTAGTAGGCTTGTAATCGGAGCTTGCACTGTCTACAACGACGTTGATGCTCCGATCTGCAAGAAAACTGGTGATCCAATCGCTCGGGAAGCCCATAGGAAGGGAGCTACGAAAGAAGCGCTTTGTGCCAAACCCGATCGAAGGCCTTCACAATGTCCAAACTAACGGCCAATAGCTTCTCCTTGGACTCTACTGCCTCCGCTCATCTGTGAGTTAGGTAGACCAGAAGATCATCAGCTTACCGACCACGGCGAAAACCGTCGATCACTTATCAGCTGGTGATCCTCAAGGTACCTCATGAGCTGGCAGTTAACAATAGACTCCATTGTTTTGGAGAACAAGGAGGTAATGGCGATAGGCCGGTAGTTGGACTGGTCTGAGCGGTCGCCTTTTTTTAGGGATCGGGTGGACGAAAGCCGTCTTCCATGATTTTGGGACTACGCCTAGGGAGTAGGAGTACCGGAAAAGACCGGTGCCAACTCTGGAGCACACGTCCTCAGCACAATTGGGGCTCACTCGACTTGTGGATATCCAGGGAGAGGAGTGCTTTGCGAACAGCGCTGTGTGAACTGCAATTCTGGCATGGAGCACTCACACCGCGGGATGGTTGGCAGCGTACTCCCCTCGTCATTGAGAGTCGAGTTGGACGCAAAGAAAGAGTCTAGAAGATCGGCTTTCTCCATTGCAGTATGGGCCAGTGAGTCGTCCCTGTGCAGAGATGGAAGAGATGGCTGAAAGAAATTCCCCTGGATAGCCTTGGCGAGAGACCAGAATGCACGGGTTCCAGAAGGAATGCGAACTAGTTTCTCGCCAATTCTGCCTATGTGCTCTGACTTTGCCTTGGCAATGACTCTTTTGAAGGACCTAGAGGCAAAATTCTACTTCTTTTTTGTAGCGCTGGTGTTTACATCCCGGTACGCTGATGCGTTAGCCCAGACTCGGTAGCACTCCTGCTTATAGCGTGATGCTATTTTAAAGGAGCGACCAAACCATGGCTGAGATTTGACTCCAATGGGTACCACAGAGGAAGGAATAAAAAGTTCCATACCCTGAAGTACCACATCAGCGACAGAATCCGCAACAACGTTGGGATCGTTCGGCGAGAAGCAAACCCGTCCCCAAGGGTGGGATGCAAAGAAAGACCGCATTCCATTCCAATCGGCTGACCTATAGTGCCAAACGCGGCGGCAGCCTGCAGAATGCAACTGCGATTTCAGCGTGAGTGGCACCACATTCCGGACAAGACAATGGTCCGAGGATCCTAAAGGGGCTTCGATGGAAATCTGATATCCGTCCGGGTGAGAGGTCAGCAGAAGGTCCAACAGGGAAGGTGCATGATCCTCCACATCTGGAATCCGCGTAGGCGAAGTAACCAGTTGTGTCAGGCCATATGCCAAGGCAAAATCATGAACAGATCTCCCCGCATGATCGGTTAAACGTGAACCAAGCCATTCGGCGTGATGAGCGTTAAAGTCGCCGAGGATCACGATCTCTACGGAGGAGGACAGGTCCAAACCTTCAAGACTGCCGAGGCGTTGAGAACAGATGTCCTCTCTGACGTAAACGCATACTCCAGCCTGAGGCACAAAGGAGTGTTCCAGTTTGTACCCCGGGTAGGAAAGATACGAGACATCAGCCGGAGAGGACACCTGCGTCTCGGTCAGAAAGAGCAGAGCCGACCTCGCCGTGTCGAGATGGTAGTGGACAGCGTTTAGAGTGAAGTCCCCTGATATTGCAGAAGTTCACGGATAGCGTGGCAGGGGTCGCTTTGGTCTTGTTGCTCCGTTTGCCCCGAGCAGTTGTAGTCTTGAGCGGAATTTTGCCCCTCCCCCCCAGAATACGTGGAGCAGTCTGAGCACCCACGCTCAGGAGTGGAGAAACATGGTCGTGGATGCTCAGCTCTCCAGGGGTGCAGGTACCCTACTGGGGTAGTCTATCATCATATCGACGCTGGAAAGGAAAAATTATCCAAGCGACATTTTTGGCCATATTGAGTTATAAACATTTTTCTGCGTCGTTTGGTCTTACTCACGTCCTTCTACGACGACTTTTGATGTCGCTTCGACATTATGGAATTCGCGAGGTTTCACTTTTTTTTCCTTTCTAACCGACAAAATTTTCGAGCATTTTTGAAAATTTGGTGGTAGTCGTAATTGTGAAACGCTAAATTTGACTTTGGTCAAGTTTGACATTTCTGTTCGTACGGTAATTACTCCACTTAGTTAATTTTTACAGTATCTGGCAATATAGTGTAAGGCGCATAGTATATTTTTCCCTCAGAAAGGATTTGTTCTTTTATCACTTAGGTAATTTTGGCTGATTTGGTTTTTTTCGAACATGGCGTTTAGTTAAAATTGGCAGTTTTCTTTTTTAATATTCAACTGGTTCAGCAAATATTACCTGCTTAAAAATACAACTGACTGTCGGTTAGTCAATTTTTACCTGCCGTTTTCAAGTGTTATTTTATTATTTAGGAAACTTTTACTTGACCGTATACGATTATCCAATGTTGGTTACATCCTATGGTTGTGTCACGCACAGGCGCAAAGTTTATTTTTACCTAAAATAATTCACATAAAAAACGTCGGTTACACTTACGGATAACGCGTGAGCAGTCGCTTGAGCATGCAGTGAAGTTAGTTTCAAAGTAAAAAAAGATACTTCAGTGCACGGCCGGTCGTCGCTTGGGAGACACGCGCACGCTGCAATTCCGTTGTCAACTGAGGTACCGCTTACGCTTATCTTATGACAAACACGAAAACTGTAAGTTGAACTAAGAAATAAATTCGTTTTTAATGCTGTTTTCGCGTTACTACATGGTGTACCTTTATTTCAGAACAATGGACCGAAGAAAACGTAGTCATAGTCTTTTGGAAAAGGCTCTTAAAGAATCGGGAATCTCTTTTAAAACCAAGGACGATTTACAGTCGGTATGTATGTAATTTTCTTTGCATCTCTCATTGTTGTTTCGTATTATTATTTATGTTATGTACCTACCTATATTAGATTTCTGTTTTGCTATCATACCTAGATAAGGGCTCCGTTTAGCTTGTTAGGTACTCATTGATTGAAGGTCACGTCTCGTCACTGGCGCTATATAGCTATATGGCCAAAGTCGTGTGTTTAAAAGTAATATTGGTACTGCTGCTTTAAGGACCTACACAACTATCTTTCAATTGTTATTATCTTATGTTTATAAAAAGTGAGTGCTAGCTTAGAGGAAAGTAGGTAGGTGTATGTTTGGATTATAAATAATTTGGTCAGAATTTATAAAAAATATGAAACTTTTACCATGTTTTAGGCCAGTAAAAAGTCTAAAGAAACTGACCCAGAGAAGCAGAAAGCACCTGGACGTAAAATTCAGACTGTCACTGAGGAAAAGAAACAGACGAATAAAAAAAATATTGCAGACAACTAAAATTTGAAGAGTCTGTAAGTACCTACCGACGTATTTTATTATATTTTTAAATATAAGACATATCTTACTAATTTAATTATTGCGTACCTACTGACTGCTTTCGTGGTCTAGTGGTCTGAGCGTTGGTCTCGGGATCCGGAGGTCCCTGGTACAATTCTTGGGGGGGAACACACAAAGTTGATATTTTTCACTTTGTGAATTTGTTCCCAGTTTGATTAGGACATTGCAGGCTGAACTATCTGATTGTCCGTAAGAAAGATGGTTCCGTGTTTCGGAGGGCACGTTAAGCCGTCGGTCCCGGTTGCTGTCTGTGTTCACTTAGACGGCGGCGGTCGTAACACAACCATGTCAGAGGCCTACTCGTAGTAGTAGGGAGTTTAAGAACTCTGACACCAGGGTTCATCGGGTCGTTCGTTGACTCGGTATCCCACACGACAAGAAGATATACTAAATTATTTCTAATATTAATTTTGCTTCTTAGTGAAGTTTTCCTTTAGGGTATTCTACCTTAAGAAATTCCCTGGTTCGATTACTAGGGATACTATATGGTATAAAAATAATTTGCTGATGATTCTGTACTTTGCAGAGTACATTTTAGCTGACTTATTTCGACTAATGTCATTGAGAGTAATCAATCATCATTAATTAAATCTTTGGCCATATGGTCATGTCATGATTTTAGATAAAATAAATTAAAGAAGCTACTTCGTTTATTTCAGAATGAAACGCGTAAGTGCTCTTCAACTGCGCCTGTAATATCACGACGTATTACTGAAGATGAAGAGAACTATGACCCTGAGGAAGTTTTCGCAGCTCTTACAGATACCATGCAGCATATCCACAGTACGGACTTACCTTCGAATGACGATGCAGCATCAGGAGTTTCTCACAGTATGGACATATCTGCGATTAATGATACCGTTCGAGATAATTGGCAGGTTTATCTCGATCCTTCGCAGGTTGGAACAACAAGTCCTCGCAGTATGGACTTACCTTCGAATGATGATTCAGCTCCAGGAGTCCCTCGCAATATGGACTTACCTTCGATTGACGATTCAGCTCCAGGAGTCCCTCGCAGTGTGGACTTACCTTCGAATGATGATCCTGCTCAAGAAGTCCCTCGCAGTATGGACTTACCTTCGATTGACGATTCAGCTCCAGGAGTCCCGCGAGGTGTGGACTTACTTTCGAATGATGATCCTGCTCGAAGTCCCTCGCAATATGGACTTACCTTCGATTGACGATCCAGCTCCAGTCTCTCGCAGGTACCGACTTACCTTCGAATGATGATTCTGCTCCCGAGTCCCTCGCAATATGGACTTACCTTCGATTGACGATTCAGCTCCAGGAGTCCCTCGCAGTGTGGACTTACCTTCGAATGATGATCCTGCTCCAGAAGTCCCTCGCAATATGGACTTACCTTCGATTGACGATCCAGCTCCAGGAGTCTCTCGCAGTGTGGACTTACCTTCGAATGATGATCCTGCTCCAGAAGTCCCTCGCAATATGGACTTACCTTCGATTGACGATCCAGCTCCAGGAGTCTCTCGCAGTGTGGACTTACCTTCGAATGATGATCCTGCTCCAGAAGTCCCTCGCAATATGGACTTACCTTCGATTGACGATCCAGCTCCAGGAGTCTCTCGCAGTGTGGACTTACCTTCGAATGATGATCCTGCTCCAGAAGTCCCTCACAATATGGACTTGCCTTCGATTGACGATCCAGCTCCAGGAGTCTCTCGCAATAAGGAGTTACCTCCAAAGGATAAGGCTGCTCTAGGTGTAAGTACTCGTAAACGAAAAGCCAAAACAAGTATCCGATATGTTGATTACATGTCTGATGAAGATTTTTCCACTTTATTCTGTCTTGGTGAAGAGAATGGCGCAGTTGATTCTGACGAATGGGTCAAATAAAGACCAGTCAAATAAGAAAAAAACAGGAAAAAAATAAGAAAAAGAAGCGGAAAGAGTCAAGTAAGAATAAAAACAGGGAATTGCTTGAAAATAATACTGAAGAAAATTTGGATACAGAAAACGAGAACGTAGGAGAAAAAGGTTTAAAAAGAATGAAGAAAAACACGAGAAAGGAAAGGGCTCTTTCGAAACAAACAGGAAAAGAATACGTAAGAAAAGATGGTCAATTAGTGCCAGAAAAATCAATTCAACCTAATCCATGTAAGGGTAAGAAATGTGGGAACAATTGTGAAAACGTAACCGAAGAAAAAAGGCAACAAGTATTTAAACATTTTTGGACGCTTACCCCTGAACGCCGTAGAGACTGGTTGGTTGGCATGACTGACAAAGGAAACGTTAAACGTAAACGTAGTAGTTCAGAATTGCGCAGTTACACATATAAGTATTGCATTACTGATGGTGAAGGAAAAAGATCTGTATGCTTACAGTTTTTGGCAGCAACATTAGATATTTCACAAAAGTGTATATATTACACGGTAAAAAATGCTTCCTCGGGAAGTGCTAAAGAATACTTGCGAGGAAAATGTGAACCACACAACAAAACCAAACCTAGTACTAAAGAGTCTGCCGTCAATTTCATCAAAAGCCTACCAGCCGTCCCCTCACATTATTGCCGTCATGATTCTACCCGGGTTTACTTGCCGCAGGAATACAAAAATATTGCACACGTATACAGCGTTTACAAAGAACGCAACGTGAAAGCTGGCATAGACATAGTTAGTGACAAGATTTTCCGGAAAATATTTAGCGAAGAATTTAATATATCATTTCATGTCTCTAAAAAAGACAAGTGCCTGAAATGTTTACAGTTGCAACATGCAGATCTCAGCGATCCAAAAAAAAAAGAAAGAAAAGGAAGATCATGAAACAGAGAAGGAAGAAAGTTTTAATAGATTTTCTACTCATAAATCTATACACAAAACTGATCCTTCCACATTATGTGCAAGCTTCGACTTGGAGAAGGTGTTGAATACTCCACATGGCGAGTCAATGCTGCTTTATTATTCAAGAAAAATAGCGGTATATAATCCATGTTTCTACGAAAACGGAACACGTAGAGTAACTTGCTATTATTGGGATGAAAGCAACGGGATAAGGGGTGCAAATGAAATCGCAAGTATTCTCCACAGGTACATAAAATCTGTGGATGAAAGAGAAAATATAAAACACCTTCTTCTATACTTCTATACTGTCCTAGCCATGATACATTCTACTTTGCAGGAGTGTAATAATCTTCAGACGATACAAATTAATTATTTACTAACAGGACACACATATATGCTTGTTGACGGTGTACACGCCGTTATAGAGAACAACCTTAATTTATGTATTTGCTACGGCAAGAAAAGAACCTTTTCCGTATGAAGTTGAAGCAATGACTTTTGAAAGTTTTAATAGATGGGACGTCGTTGGTGATAAATACTTCAAAGGGAATTTGACTGGGAAAATTAGCAAAGTTCGTGTCGTGACTGTCAAGAAAAATAAGCCTTCCATGATTTCTATCAAAGACTCCATGAACGTTAATGCAAACTCGTATAATGTCGAAGTTCAATCCAAAACCAAAGGTCCACTGATGCCTTGCTACCGATCACGACTGCCAATCGCAGAGGCCAAATATAATGATCTCATGAAACTTTGTAAAGATAAAGTAATACCTGCTCCATTCCATCACGAATACTCCATTATCCCAAAGGCTACTAATGCAAAAGATACCTTGCCTGAATCAGATATAGAAGATGATGAATAATAATTACAACATACAGATTATATCATGTTGTTTTTTTAGAAGTTTATTTTTAGTTCGGTTTATTCAATGAGAGCTTTAAACGGGTTCCTATTATTTTAATTGTTACTTCATATTATAATGTAGATGATGACTGAAAATATTACTAGCTGTAAGTTGTTTTCGCACAGTACTTATAATCTGTCAATTATAGGATGGTTCCCTGGCGGCTGTTAGATTCATACTATAATTGATAGAGTATAGTTGATATGGCTACTGTTATTTTTAGAATTTGAATTAAGTTCGTTTTTTTTATAAGTTTTCTTTTTGTTACATATTGTTTTCTGAATGCCTATGAGGTAAATTTGTTGTGACTGAAATGTTACTAGTTTTGTAAACATGTTCAAATTTTATATTCATTATAATAATATTAATAGGACTAAATACTTACATTTGACTAAATACTTACATTTAAGATCTCAATGTTCCTAGAACATATAATTATTATTATTGTGATATACAAGTAGATTTATAATACCTAACTAATACTAATACTGTGTACCATAATGTTGCTTTGTTAAACTTAATAAAACTCAAGACAGTTTAAGTGCATTTTATTTATCCATTATTTTTTAGTAATTCTTTAATGAAAGATTAATCCAATTTTCTGTAAAAATGTCGTTTATGTCAAAATTACGGGGAAAAAAATATAAAATTAATATTTAGGTTGTTTTGCCTCAACTTCCACATGTTTTTTATATTGGTAAGGCAACTTTTACTCTGTTAAAAAAAAAAAAAGATATATACTACATTTTTACCGTACCCTCCTTAATCAAAGCTTGTCGGTTAGTCAATTTTTACCGTTTCTACTTTTAGGGAAAATCTTACTAAGTGACACTAACTTTAAAACTAAGCATTATTTTTAATAGTTACGTATACTATAATGTAGATAAAAAAATAAACAAATAAATTTCTAAGAATTGGGCTTTTTGGACCATTACAAAAATTTACACGATTTTTTTTCAGAAAATTCAAACTTTAAACAGCTCTACTGTAAAGTTAGTCTGATGTCGCTTGGATAATTTTTCCTTTCCAGCGTCGATATAATTCCGCTACCATGTTGATGGGGGGGGAGGATTTGGGCCTCCAGCCACCTGCACTCACCAGACGAAACATGGAAGCAGAGATTCCACTTCACGCCGATATTCTGTGAGGTCGGGCTACCACCCCGGTTTGAGCCGGCCCATATGTGCAAAAGCAAAACTGCTGCGTGGCTCTACCACTGTTAAATACCTACTACCTACTATTGTAATGCAAATGTATCATAGAGACCTATAGTATTGCTTTTTTATCATAGAACTGACTATTATACGTCTTTAATACATGCGACTTCAACCCATAACTCTAGTATCATAATGCTTATGCATCATGGAGACCTTCTATAACAATGATTTAGTATAATAGAGCTTACTATCGTAAGTCCCTAATATAAGACTAGTCATTGTGCTACAGTACTTCAAGCAGTCGGGCACCCGACCACCTCATATATATGTACAACAGTGGTTATGTGTCTCCGGCAGCTCCTGCATATAATCCATCTATACATGAACACCCTCCATTACTTGGAAAATTTTCTTTTATACATGAACTCCCTCCATGGCTTAGACAATTTTTAACCAATTTTCTAATTATCTTATAAATGTTATTTATCTTTATTTTTATAAAATTTTCGATTTGTATTTCTATTATTTAATGATTTCTTAAATTTACGCGAACACTACACATTGAATAAAACTATTATTTGTATAATTAATAATAAAACTATTATTATTTCTATTATTATTTCTATTATTTGTCATATTTTAAATATTTTACGAGTTTGTTTTTTAATAAATTTATTTATTTTGAAAGACAATATTTTGCCTTAAATTTACTATAATACTTAATGAATGAAATGTATTTATTTTTAACTTTATGCTTATTAATGTAATTTTATTGTTTAACATAAATCTATTAATACTATTTTTGACGCCCCTTTATATGGAATTTAATTATTAATAATAATAATGGGTCGTCACAATGGGCAAAACGAAGATCATGTATAACGACCATGTCACACCTATGCCGGTGGTTTTTGGGAGCACTAAGCTCGAAGTTGTTGAGGAGTATGTTTACCTGGGAGAAAAAGTCCGTCGAGATAAGCCACCCTCAGCCAAGAGGTCAATCGACGGATTCCACTCTTGTCAGTTATACCTCAAAACCTGAAAACTAGATGGTACAACTAGATCGTGTTGCCATTGATGACTTACGAACTTGAGACGTGGTCATACACTGCTGGCTATATGTGGATGCTCAGGATCGCTCAACGAGCTGTGGAGAGGACTAGTTTAGCTCTACAACCGATGAGAAAAATAGGTTTTTCAGTGGCAACCCCGTACCGGTAGGTGAAGTCTAGGGCGACCCCTAACTAGATGAAGTGCAGACCTGGTAAAACATGCAGAAATTCGAAGGATGCAGTTGACTCAGGACCTTGCTGTGCGGCATTCAGCAGTGGGCTTGTGAACGACTGTAATGATGATGATAAAGTCAGTGGACTTTATCGTCATTATTTGATGATTGACACTTGGATAACAGTTAAATTTGGTTGAGTTTAAATTCTCGGATTTGCAATGCTCGCCACAAATTTTTTACATGTAATAACCAACTGATTTCACCCACCGCTTACATCTGAAAAAATAATAATATATAAAATACAATTGATAATATTGTTTCTAAGATAGCTTGTTTCGGATTGCCATCTTATCGAACTATCAGAGTTAATAAATAGAGTATGTTTTTATTTGTGCACACAATCGTACACTATAAACATCTGTCCTAGACAGATGGCTAGTCTCCGTTATACTAGCGCCCGTGATCCAAATACGGCTTGAAGGACATTACTACAAATAAGGTTCGAAAAATGTATTTCCGTTAAATATCGTACATATTACAATTAAGTTAAAATCACCACATACTTTTTTATCATGTAAGGGAAATATTTCTATGAATAGCCTTTTCTTGTTATTATATTTTTCGCTTCTAACATCATCTAGTTGGCAAGTTTTATAATAGACACTATATTTTTAAGAATTCTCTAAATAAAAACGGCTCCTATAGCAAAATAAAAAGCGTTCTAAATAACTAAAAGTACCTGGGTGATAACGATACATTTTTGACATATCAAAACCTTATAAAAAGTATTTTTGGTTGTTATAAAGTATTTCTCTATATTCCTTCTCCATCTTACAGAATGTTGAAGAGCAAAACACACGTCTAATACATAGTAGAGACTTGTACGAGTATTATATAAAAAGTACATATATGTTCGTAGATATAAAAATTACTATTCTTATAAAATATAGTTATGTTCCATTATTGATTGAGTTTACATAAAATATCACTTCAAAATTAAAGTAATCGCGTTTATTAAGCCCTTTATTAATATGAGTTTGCGCCAATACTTCGGTAATAATTTACAGAATCAAACACAAAGAAACATTTTTGTATTGATACGATAAGATACTTTACTTGTCATTAACACGATTGTGATTTTTCGTACAGTAAACGTGTTATTCATTATATCTCCTTAAGTAAGCTAGAAAAAATCTGAAAAAAATTACCAGTATGTATACCAATCTATAGATCACGAATCTGACATAACAGTAAAAACTCTATAATAGCATATTTATAATAGTATATTACCAAGTTTTTGTTATGTACACGTATATTATATTAATTTATTGGGACATCTGAAGAAGTATCGCTCGATAAATATTCTCCAAGACTCTTAAAAATTACATAATGAATTACAAATGTCAAAACGTAATGACAACGTAAAAGTATTTATTATTGGTGTAGGAAAATGAATGAGAATTATGCTAAGTGTAGGTTTGCGTGACGGTCCGATCAATATAACATAGCTCATGTACAACTGTTCTGATTTCTTCTTGGGTTAAATATACTCCAAATACTAATTTAGCACTTAAATATCAAATTGAAACAAAAAGGTAAACATTAATTAATTCCCATTTAATACTATTATTTACTTTCTCGTCATACTTATATACTATCAGCTTCTGACTGGCCACTTTAAAAAAATCATTATTTTATTTGTACACTACGGAAAGTTGTTACAGGATAACCTAAAATCATAACCGTTCTGTTACTCATTAATTAATTTATTTATTGATTTCATACTAATAGAGAAAGCTCGCATTCAAAAAATAACATTTTAGTGCGAAGCATATGACTTCTGACTTCTTCTGGCTTCTGACTGGCCACTTTTAAAAAAAATCATTATTTTATTTTTACACTACGGAAAGTTGTTACATGACAACCTAAAATCATAAACGTTCTATCACTTATTCAATGATATATTCATTGATTTCTTATTAAAAGAGAAAGCTCACATTCAAGAAATAACATTTTAGTGCGAGTCATGGTGGAAGTAACTTCGCAAATAAAAATATATTATGTCTATTTATATCACATCTTCCGCGCGCTTGACGTTTTGAGGTGATGCGTTCGCAAGTTGAAGAAAAAGTGTCACTCGACTGCTTTACCGGCGTGCGCTGACCAAAGGATTAGATACATGAAAATATTGTGCTATTATATGAAACGGGTTAGAGTAAATTTTAATTATGATTATTATATCTTATCTCTATTTATTATGCGTAGGCTTGACGACTTCCACCTGGCAACACGCAGGTTTCAGTAAAGGGTTTTGTCCAACAGATCATAATACTATATTAAGAACACGATTAGGATTACAATCTGCTGCTTTGTTTAGAGGTTGTAGACATTGAGAAAGATGTGCTTAAGTCTCTTCAGGGGCATCATATTAATTGTGGGTTTATTGAAATATTAAAGTGTTTTTTTATCATTCATTATCTTGCGTATGTGGACTGTGAAAAAGCCTTCGATTCCGTCGATATTTTGGCGGTACTGAAATCTCTTCAGAGCTGTCAAGTTTACTGTTGGTATAT